CTAATGGGGCAACATCCCTCACCCGCCCTGGTATCTGCAACAGGCTTTTGGCATGGATGCGGAGGAGCACAGCGTCATCATGCAGCAGGTCAAGGAACTGGAGGTATGCAGCAAGACCGTGTCTCTCCAGTATGCTTCAGCCACATCAGGGTGGTGCTGGGGGGCTTCTGTGCCTCCTGACCCCCATGTTTGGGCTTTGGGGTGTGGGATGCCCTGGGTTGTGCTGGGGGAGTCACCCAGGAGCTGAGTGGCAGCTGATGGTGTGGTTCTGCTCAAGCCCCATCCTTCCTTGCAGGGTTGGTGACCCCTGCCACATTAATAATGATGTTTTTTTCATTCTTCTAGAACCCAATTTTCTGCCTCAAAGCAACTGTGAAGGAAGCCAAAGGGATTTTGGGTAAAGATGTCAGCGGTAAGTGGAGATGGGTGGGTGTCCCGTGGGAAAAGGGACAACCTCTACTCCCAACGGGGACTTCCACTCCTCCACCTCACAGGGTTCAGCGACCCATACTGCCTGCTGGGCATCGAGGCCAAGAGCCAGGAACCAACCCACTCCAACCACAAGAAGCGGATGAAGGCTGTGGTCAAAGACCTCATCCCTGAAGACCAGATCCATCGCACACAAGTCATAAGCCAGACCCTCAGCCCAGTGTGGGACGAGACATTTATCCTGTAATCTGCCACCCCTTGGTTTTCCTCATTGGGGGCTGGAGAGGGTGTCCAGGGCTCTTGGGGGTGGATCACCACTCACCCCAAACAGGAGCTGGGACTCTTCTGGGGTGATGCCCACTGCAGCTTGCCAGGCTTCTGGACTGACAAATGCAGCAGGTCCAGGGAGGTGAAAGACAAAATTACGGCAAAAATCCCTCCCTCAGGGCTCTCCCACCACCTCCCCAGGCTGTGCGGGGTGGTTTGAGGTCTCCCCCAGGCAGGAACCACCTTCCCATAATCCCCAGCTCTCCTGCCTGCTTGCTACTGGTCCCTCAGAATAACAGCATCCCACTGGTGCCTTGCAGGGAGTTTGAAGACGTGGAGACGGCCAGCTTCCACCTGGACATGTGGTGAGTGGCAACACCCCCCTGCCCTTGAGTGGGATCCTGTCTCCTGAGAGGGTCCTTGGGGTGGTCCTTCAACCTGCACCCTTTAAAAAGCCCCAGAAACCAGCTGGGGACTCCTTTTCGTGTCACATTCTGCTGACCCAGAGCCTGAAGATGTCCTGAAGTGTGTCTACCTGAAGGTGTCCCTGCTGATGGCAGGGGGGTTGGAACTGGATGATCTTTAAGGTCCGTTCCAACCCCAAACCATTCCATGATTCTATGATTTTATTTATGGAAAGAGTCCTGCAGATTTTGGCTGGACAGTTGATTTTGGGGGTGACCTCCATCCCAACATATTTCCCCCCCTCCACAGCACCTTCCCTTCTCTGCCATTATTGTAACTCCCTGAACTGTTTTGCCATCACCTGAATTTCCTCTTTCCCCCCGTGGTGGGTTTCACTGATTGCTTTTGCAGGGACTCGGACGTGGTGGAGTCGGTGCGGCACAAGCTGGGGGAGCTGACAGATCTCCACGGCCTCAAACGGTTGGTGCTGGTGTGGCCCTAATGGCTGGCGAGGAAAGAGGGTTTAGAAAATGTTTATTTGCCTTTTGGACTTTAAAAATTTAAAAATGGCCTTTGGAAGGAGTGAAGGAGGGTGGTAGGTGCGCGTCACCCTTCTTCACCCTGACCAGGGCTGGGTGACGGTGGCAGGATTTACCCCTCCTCCATTCTTGGCTTGCAGGATCTTTAAAGACGCTCGCAAGGACAAAGGGCAGGATGATTTCCTGGGGAACGTGGTCCTTCGCCTGAAGGTGAGCGCCGAGGTGCATCCTCTCCTCCAGGTGACTCCCCAGGTGGCAGTTAAACCTCACGGGGTCCAGGCAGGATCCCAGCCCCGTGACAGCACTGAGCTCACCCAGGATGCTGGCTCAGAACCACAAACTGCTGCCAGGTCCCTCAGCTCGGTGGCAGGTTCTCCAGCCCCTCCAGCTCACTCGCTCAGTAGTGACACAGCTGTTATTTTCCAGCCCACACCAGCATTATCTGACACAGCACCTTTCTGCCCCATGAGCACAGTGGGACCCAGTCCCTGAGCAGGATCCTTCCCCCAGGAACGCTGCCTGGGGGGCTTCACTCTTGTCTCTGTGCACGCAGGACCTGCACTGCTGGGATGACCAGTGGTACCAGCTGGAGCCGCGGACAGAGACGTACCCCAACCGGGGACAGTGTCACCTGCAGTTCCTGCTTACTCACAAGAAGGTAGGAAGGGGTGGGGATGGGGATCCCTTTCCATTGTCTTGGCAGGATGGGGGAGCTGCCTGTCCTTGGGACCCATCTTGGGCTCACAGATCCCTGCAGCAGGACCAGAGGTGCCAGCAGCAGGGTTATCATGGGCTGCTTGACCCTCCCCTGAGCCCCATGGCAGTGTGGGGTCCTCACTCCTGATGCACCTGCACTCCTTGGCTTGGCTTCAAACAGGTCTCTCTGGCCCCATGCTTTTGGGGTTCCTGTGTCCACTCTGTGTCCTCGTGTGTCCAGGCAAGCTATGATTGTTATGAGGGAAGGTTTAGATGAGATATTAAGAAGAAATTCTTCACTGTGAGGGTGGTCAGACACTGGAACAGGTTGCCCAGAGAAGCTGTGGCTGCTCCTCCCTGGAAGTGTTGAAGGCCGGGTTGGATGAGGCTTTGAGCAACCTGGTCTAGTGGAAGGTGTCCCTGCTGATGGCAGGGGGGTTGGAACTGGAGGTCCCTTCCAACCCAAACCAGTCTGGGATTCTATGATTATTTACATGTACTTTCTATGCCTTGTATCTTTTCAGAGGACCACCATGATCAGCCGGACACAGCCGAGCTACACCGTCCATCGCCACCTCCTGCAGCAGCTGGTGTCCTACGAGATCCTCCAGCACCAGGTACCGAGGAGGAGAAGCAGCTCTCCAGCAACTGGGCTGGGATGAGGCTTCCTTTGGAGCCCACCACGCCTGGCACATTGATGCAGTGGGATGGGGAGGAGGGTTGTGGTGATGCCTGGTATCCTTACAGAGCACCCATTCATCCTGTGGTCCTGCAAACACACTCCACCCTGGTGCTTGTCCCTCTCCTCACTCATCCCAACTGGCTCCAGGACACCTCACCCTCCTTTTGCATCCTTGCAGGCTGGCAGCATTGCCTGGGACGGGGAGCTGAGCAGGCACGCCAGCACCGTGCTCTACCTGCACGCCACGCAGAAGGATCTCTCCATCTTCCACCAGGTCATGGCGTGAGTATTCCACGCCTGGGGATCCATCACGGGGCATCAAGGAAGGGTCCAAGGGCCCCAACACCTTCCCTGGGGCCTCTCACTGCAGCTGCTGTCTCCTACAAGCTCAGCATGGCTGGTATTGCTGCTCTGCCCCGAGCAGCACTAGGAGATCTGGGTCCTGCCCCTGCAAGCCCAGCCCCAGCCGTGGGTGGGGGAGC